TTAAGCCAGGAAGCCAGAAGATTTTTTAACGTACATTTCTTTGGAAAGAAGATTTTCTTTTGTTGCTACATTTATTATAGAATTTGTACACTCATTTATGTATACATTAAATAATCTCTTCTTTAATTTTAAATATTATTTGTATTCCCTCAGTGGAGATAGATAATTGGTATCCTGAATATAAGACACAGTCAGATAGTTGAATAAGTCTATTAAGTTACATTCTATTTTCTTCAGGCTAACAACCTTTCCATACAATTCCTGGTGTCCAAACTTGTACTCACTTTTAGTATTTTAGTTGCTTCCCTTTAACCCCTGCTCAATATTTGAGTAAAAATAATCTGGCATGATATTGACTGATCTGAAGTTGGATATGGTAAATTGTCCTAGAAATCTAAAATATTTTATAGGGAATGTTGAAGGCACTGTGTGAGCTAAACACACACAGGGAATATGTTCATTATTTGCTGCACCTATTCATAAAAGAACATTTTCAGTGGGCTCTGCAGAGATTTGGATAAACAAGCCTTGTTATTGTTGACAGACATCGTGTGTCTAATTCCAAGTACACTGTTCTCCAAGTTGACATCTAAACATTGGACTTAAGCAGTCACAAGACAAGGAATTTTCCAGGGGAAAAAATGCAAGTGCTCATCATTCATCCCCCATCTTTCCAGATCTTACCATCTGTTCTTATGCCCGTTTACTTCTGATCACAAGGATATAGTTGTTGATCTTAAAATACTTAAATTACATTTATTATTTTAAAAATGTACATTTTTTGTTTGTTTTGGAGGGGCAGGGGAAGGAAATTAGGTTTATTTATTTATCTTAATGGTTGAACCCAGGACCTCATGCTAAACACGTACTCTACCACTGAGCTATACCCTCCCCGCTTAAATTGCATTTGAATAAATTATACATGAACTCATTGCAACTGAAGTTAAAATAGGTTCAGAATTACTTAGTCATATACTTTCTTATGAACATCCATGAACGTATATGCCTCAAATTTAATATATATCCAACTGAAAAGATATATTCCTTTTAGAGTAAAGTATCTCCAAGAATTCTCAGGCTATTAACTTCTTTTTGTTTGAATAATCCTTGTTCAGATTGAACTGTAATAAATTAAGGAGAAAAAAGTTGTTATTTTTGTGTTTAAACTAATTGCTGACCTTTGATATGGGCAATCAAGCAAAAACCAAATGTCCCTCTAAACAGTATTATTAAAGTACTTTCCAATACAGCTTCATATAGTTAGTTTCAGATTTTAAACTGGTCCCAGAGGTATCTAATTTTAAAATGTGTTTTTCTTTCATATATATAATATTCTTGTTTAGATAATAGTTAGAAAGTGGGAGTTTCTTCAAACACCTTAAAGTTGAATGAAAAAAAAGTATGTTTCTAATCCTAAAAGATTAAAAGCAAGACTACACTGGGAAAAAAAATCAAAGACTAGACATGTATTTCATGCAGTTCATTTATTTTCATCTCTTTCCTAACACTTTTAATTTCACTCTGCAATTTGGAACAGATTTGATCATCTTGCTGTCATGTGTCAGTGTATTTCAACAGCAATGAAAATAAACAAATGGGTTTGGTGCTCCACAAAACTGTGGAGATGCGGAGTTAATTACAACAGTTACTTACTTTGGCACAAGTAACACTGTACAGCCCTTGTAGAATAAAGTATTGTCTGGTTATCCAAAGTTTATGTGAAACTGTTGAGCCGGGCTTGCGCTCCTTACATCAGTAAAGCCCCTTTAGCTAGAGAGGAGAGTGGGTCTTTGTGAGGTTCCCTTTTTGTCAGAGAACATTTGGCATGACAAAGATCACCAGGGGCTATGGTTTACTTTATGATCCTGAGGAGGTATTCTTACATTAACTGTATGGAAACACACCTGTATTTGTTTTGTGCACTTGAGCTCTGCAAGGCCTGTGAAAGTGGTTAATGAAGTCCAAGAGTTAAACAAGTTTAAAGGTTTAGAGTTGTTGCAGGATGCCACTACATGTGCCCCCAAGACTGTGGAACATAGTTATTTCTAGAGATAATGCAATAGGGAAGAACAAATCTGACTCCATATTAGGTCTGTTCCTTTACGTCTAATTCTGTGCTCTGTATCTTGTACTTAGTCATGCTGGTTCTACACATTTTGTAAAAGAATGTTGCCTAGACCCTGAAATATACAGGAGAGCCCATTCTCAAGGCTCTGACCTTTAAAGGTATAATATTTTTTCCATTCATATAGAGATAAAACATTGCAGAACAGAGATTAACATTTATCTTGCTGGAGGTTTACAGGAACATCATGACCTGACCTACATGGACATGTGGACAGCTGCAAGAACAAAGGATTCTGACACCAAGAAGTTTGCAACAATTAACCACACTTCCTCCTCTTTTTAGTATAAAAGGAGCCTGAAATCTGACTTGGGTAAGGTAGTTCTCTAGGATTAGTCCACCATCTTCTTGGTCTGCTGGCTCTTTGAATAAGGTCATTATTCCTTGCCCTTACACATTGTCTCTGGATTTATTGAGCTGTTGTGTGGCGAGCAGAATGAGTTTGGACTCGGTAACAATAAAACTTGTCCATGTGACCAAATTACTAGCACCATTCTTAATATAATTTGCTGTCTGCTTTGGAACTGTAATATTTCAACATGAAAACTTTTATGTCATACATTTTTATTTTGCCCCCAAGAAAATAAGCAGATTTGAATTTCAAAATATTACAAATGTTATGGATGAATGAACAAAGCCAAATGCATATCCATTTGACTTTGTGAGTGAATAGACTTATGAAAATAGGACAAAGTGTGACACCTGAAAACATGAAACAGTATACTGTCAATATAGTTAAAAGAACTAGCATTGCTCAGAGGAAGATGCCCATAACTTCTTAGCCATCTATATGGCATTAATAGATAACAAACTTGATGCCAAAAATGTGAATGAGAGAAACTGATAAGACTGAATACTGCCAAATGTAGTATCTGGGATTATGTTTTTTAAATAGGCAGACTGAATACATTTTGGAAGTTAATCTTTTAAAAAGAACTAGCATTCTGATTAAAGACATCCTTAAATATCAAACACAACTCAGATCCCCTTCTAACATTATTTCACCTTCCACCTCTCGCTGCTCTTATCTCATTACTTTGCTTTTCTTATTTAGATGAAAATAGCTTTGCTATAAACCAAAAAAGCTCAAGAGAATGTTTATAATGGAAATGGTATCTGTTAAAATGTCTCCCCCAATCCATCTGTTCCAGAAAACACTTCAGATTCATTGACCACCTACTCCACATTGCCACACTTCCAATTCTGTCCATGTTATAATAAATGCCATCTCTTCCTGGATAGAATCCACTTCATATAATTTCCCACCACCCACAAGTAAATTCTACTAGAACTGGGTAGGTAGTACTCAACGTATAACAACTGTCAGATTGTTTGGCTGCATAATGCTCTACCATTTGCTGACTACTGCTATCTTAGATTCCCTTACCCTCTGTCTTTCTCCGGAAGCCACTTCCCACTTCCCTCCCACCCTCACTCAACTTCGAAGAAAAAAGGACATTATCATCTCAAAAGTGGATGGATATAAGTACTAAGAATATAAAATAGACACATGAAAAATAAAAGAGATACAAAAGAAAAAAAACTAAGGGAAGTGAAAGAAGCATCACTCATACCTCATCTTTAGATTCTAAAAGTTAAATAACATAAAAGTAGTCTAAGCGTAAGATTTGTTGTCTTACAACTGAGAGGTTGTAAATTAATTCATATGCGATCACACAGTACTCCTTTTTAAAAATTATATAAGAATAGACTTCTAAAGTGTAAGCTTTTCAGAATATTTCCTGGTTGTTGTCAGAATTCTTATTGATTTCCCGTCAAAATTTGAACTACAACAAAAATTTTAACAGATGTGAAGGCAGAGGAATGCCTCATTACTAAATTCTAAGTGTTTGTTGCTTCAGTGAATTCCAAGCTGTTTTAATAGAATATTGAAATTTTGTTGGGGTGGAGGAAAGGAATTTTTTTAAGTGAATGACAATGGCATATGGAATACAACCTTTTGCATGTTTTTGTTTTCATGGGTACTCTGAAAGCAGTATGACTTGAGAATTCTGAAACCATCTTCACTTTTCACAGTGTGAGTCAAAGAGGAAAGGAGATAACATCTATAACATCTGGACACTGCTGGCAATTTATGCGCCCTGGGTAAAAGTGTATATTACTAGCCCAAAGAAGAGAAGCTTAGTTAAAAAAAAAAAATCACAAGAATTTCTACAAATTCTGCTTCGGGTCATATCCAGGACTCCACACGTTTACTGACTGGGCAGATCTCCAGCTAAAATATTATCCTTACTTTCTTCCAAATATCCCTACTTTCTTCCAAATATCCTAAGATAGAATACTATTCTCAGAAATCAGAGTTCCCAGGCACATTGCCTTGAATCTGTATGTTTACCGAATTTGACAGACTTTGCAGCAGAGAGTCATCATGGGTGTGCACTTCATACAGGTCCAGGCAAGCTGGAAACCCTGACAGGAATGTTGCTGGGAGGGCAGAGGCAACATGTATTGACAACCTTGTAGGCTTCACACTTAGAATTTTATCTGCCACAATGAAGTTGGGAGTCTAGCTTCTCCTCTGCATCGGTCAGAGACCACTCGGATTACTGTGCTCAGCTCTGAGTAAGAAAGGGAAAGCACTGAGAAGATGTCAGGAAATGTCCCACATTCTGGGAGAATAATCTGAACAGTGCAGGAGTTTGGACCAACATCAGGAGGAGATGTACATAATGAAGAAAGAAATGTCATCAAATATTTCAAGTGATATAATGTAGATGAAATATTAGACTTTTTCTGTGTGATCCTGAATGGGACAGTGTATAATGATGATAAGATTAATTTTTGGTCTGTTTTTGAAAAAAGCAAAACTTTTCATCTGAGCAGGCCTAAGAGAATTGAGTTTCTTCAGAGGAAGGATGGGTTTCTTTGCCTGGAGTTATTCAACCACGGTGTAGAAGACCGCTGGGAGAAGTATAGAAAGAATCTAAGCTTCAGGTCGCCTGTGCAGATGGTTTCCTCCAACCCTGAGACTTTATCATCTATAAACAGACAAATTAAATGAGAGTCTGAGTATCTGATGACAACACTACTTATTTCCCAATTTGCTTGGAAATATTCACAATCATCCTGAAGACATCCTATTACAACATTCCCTGTACACAGGTCAGAGGTTTATATTAACAGACCAAATGCACACAAATGCTTTTCGTATACAAAAGAACAAAAGGAGAAAGAAAAAAAATTCATCAGATTATCAGATTCATCAATTTGTTTGATTTTCCTTTGAGTAAATGCCTCTGTAGTTTGCAAGTAAAAGTCACAGGGCTAAATCTATGTATAATCTTCTGCAAGATTTGAGCAATACCTAGAATGATACAATTTTTAAGTACCTATATTGGGAAGTAAAGAAAAAGCTAGGTGGAAACTTTATCAGTGACATTAGCAATTAAACCTAAAAGCAATTACAGCACTTGCTGTTAGACACAAAAGAATGATAAATATTGCACTATTATCCTGTTGAGTATATTACACTATTAAACAAGTAACCTGATAACTCTTTCTGCCTAAAGAGCTTTGTGAAAGACATCATGGACACAGACCACTAAGGCTGGACAACTTTGGTCACAGTCAACTTTTTATTTCCAATGCCTTCTGAAGTCATGACATTTAATAGTGCAGCAGACATACAGTTTAGATGCACTCAGTGACCTCCTATCACACTGAGTATGTCACCTAGCTTGCCATCGGTTGCCAATAATAAAAGCAAGAATACAAACAAAACATAGCTAGTAAACCATAGGTTTATTTTTAAATATTCCAATCTCATCAAAGATCTTTAATTCATCGTTTTTTTTTTTTTTTGCAGGAAAATCCATCCTACTTACAGAAAATGGGGAAAAAAAGTTCCCCAGTGAATGTGCTTTTGTTCTACAAGAGTCCTCTTAAAGGCATAAATTACATCTTAGAAATGGAGGTAGGAGCTGGCTAGGTATATATTCAGGTCACCAGGATTATCTATCATAGCACTGTACATTGTATATATACAAGCTAAACTTTGGGGGAAATAGTATTTTACTGAATCATTCTGCTTATAATTTCTAGTATTTATCATAAATAGGATGAATTTGGACAGCTGTGGATGGTATACTAAGTTAAAAAAAGTATCCTAAGAAAAGTCAGATAAATGTGCTCTTTGTTGAAGAAACAAAGGTGACTTCTGATGCTCATTAAGAATTCTAATCTCCATCAAATCTCATCAGCAACAAGAAATGAAGACATCTATCTAAAATGTAATCAATGAAAGATAAGTTATTGTCTAACTAATTGTAGGCATGTCCACTATGATGTAATTTTGGTGATGATAGAAGGTGATCAGGACAGATATTCATCACAAAAGAAGGAGAATTAGGAGTAAGAAGTTCCTTGGCTTTGGTACTAAATACTAATTATGGAAAAAAGTGATCAAATTGGCCACATGGATAATTTAGTCTTTTCAATAGGTAGTAGGAAAATGATCCTTTCTTCCTTTCTTTATGTTTTTAATGTAAGAACTGGAGACTGAACCCAGGACCTCATGCAGGCTAAGCATGCTCTCTACTGCTGAGCTATACCCACCCTCTTTCTTTCTTTTGACTTCATCACAAAAATGGAAAAGAAAAACTATTCCCTTCCATAACCAGAGAATCAAGGCTAATGAATGTTAATACAGTCTAACCAGAGCAGTAGACCCCATAGTTCTACTTATCATTTTTCAAACATAGAATATTCCATAGAATACATGAACCGTAGGTATATTCTTTAAACTTACATAACACCTAGAGAGAGAACCTCCACTGAAAAGGTTAATATTTTAAATAATCCTTTAATTTACTGGAGCATCAATTTTACTGCTGTGTTTTATTTTCCAGACTATCACTTGACCTTTGAACAGCACAAATTTATGTATTTTTTTTATATATTTGTAAACATGGGGGAAATTATAATATGTAATGTTAAAAGCTCATTCACAGAAGCTATTATTTTTTATTATTATTATTATTATTAAGAAAAAATAAGTAAAAACTAAACATAATGAAATTCTAAATCATTGGAAACTTATAATATCAACTTAGGAAAGCAGATTTTTCATTAATTGAATTGAAATTATCTGGCTTTTATTAAAGGCCTGTACCTCACTAAGTAATTGTCTGCATTTTTTTTATTATTATCTTAATAAAAGTTTACCACATTTAAGTAAACCATGTATATTTTACTATTAATTACTCCTTTAATATTTATTAAAATGGATATCCTTCTTTTGTGTAATAAATGTACTGATGGAGTTCTACATTAAAAACAATTCTTGAGCATGACTTCTAATTAAAACATTTTGTCACAGCATCCTATATTAGAGTAATTACTGTTGAGTTTATCTTATAAATTCTGATTTTATATATTGAATTTGAAGTCAAAGGGCTATGTGCTGTCACTGGTATGGTATCAAACACATGGAAAAACAAATAAGGGAATAGGTTTTGTTTACAGTGTCAACATCAGAAAATTTTACACTGCTGCTTTACAAAAACTGATAAAATGTTTTCTATGTGAATATAATAAAACCAAAAATCTCTAAAGGTACTGATTTTTAAAATTACTAGTGTATGCCATGAACTTGTGAGGAATAATTGTTTAATACATGCAGTAAATACTTGTGATTATACATTGAATTACTACTATGACAGTTCAGTTCTAATTACATGATCCTTGATTACCTACAATGCATCTTACCTGTGCGTTCATTGACAGAATGAACAGAAGCCGTTTAGTTACTCAATTTATTGATATCTCTCCATTTTCTTTCATTGTTTGCATTCATTCTTCTATGACTGAATGCACTCTCACATCCAATTAGCCTCATATTTGGGAAAGTTAGAGCTCACTGGCTTATGGAGACTTATCTTTTCTGTTAGTTCCAGATAGGAAAGTTTGCTCTTGTCATAGTTGTAAACTGAAAGTCAGGAGCCCAGGAATAAAATCTGAACCCCTGCCCTGTTTCAATTTGAATTGCATCTTTATGGAATGGTGTCCTTTTTTAACTGAAAATTCTTAAGGACATAAAGTATAATTTTTCTAGCCACCCCACTGCCCATATGTTTTTAAAGTGTGGCTCATCAAGGCTTAAGCAAAGGCTAAACTAGTCCTGTGAAAAGGTCCCACACAGTCACATTGACCAGGCTGGGGGATCTTTGGCACTAGGTATTTTACGTAACCTATCTTGCTCGTGGTAAGCTCAGTCATCACAAAGGGTAAGCACTCCCAGTAAATGTCTTATGTTGATAGTGATCAAATCAACCAAACTCAATGAAAATGCTAACAGATATAAATAATGCAAAAGCAAATAAAGAACTGGCATTTTATATCTTGAGGTAGCCCCATATTATTAAGCTCTGAAGATGAAGCTTTTCTACTTTTGTTTTGACCGTACAAATATTTAGTTAAGGAAACAATATTTGACCGTAAGTAGTAGTGTTTTGGGCTATCCTGCTTTTGTTGATGTATTGAAAAAATTCAGTGGAAGTTTTTCACGCCAATCTCCATACTAGATGGTGGATCATGTCTAACCGCAGTCTCTTAAAAATATCTGATGCTGTTCTGTATAACCCAATGCACAAAGGATAGGAAAGAAATCACAGTGAGTGACTCCAGAAAGGTCAGGAAAACTTCCCTTAGACAAGTCAAGACTCTGTTGGATATGTTAATAAAAGGTCTTAAGAACCAGTAGGTGTTCTTGTTGAACCTTTGTACAAAAGACTGCTAAAATTTCTACCTATAGCCCCATAGGTCTGAGATCCTAGCCAAGGATTACATAAGATTCGTATGAAATTGTAACACTGAACTCTCCCAGGGCAGGTCTTAGAACTGTGTCATCTTTTGATTGACAAATATTAGCCTTTTTGACAAATATTGACAAAAATTTAGTAGTGAAACATAAAAGACAACAGAGTGCTAAAACCCACTTAAGGCAAGGTAATCAAAGAAAAAAAATCTACTACTATACAGTTACCATAAGCATTGAATATATATGTATATATGCATATATACATATATACGGACATATGCTGAATACATGCTGAATGGCTGAATGAATGTGTGTGATATCTTAGGTAAATGGGTTTATATCATTCCCAGATATTCCCCCTTACTTTTCATAAATTAAATTCTTAAATTCAGCTTTTGGTTTATCGATCATTTTAATCAATAAAAGTGGAGTGTTAGCTCACACCTAACAGTCATTAACATATTCAACCATTTTAAGATGATATGCTTGAACATTAAACAAATTAAATTCACTAAAAATAATCTAAATCTAAATTATATATAATAAAAAAGCTAAATATCTAGTGGATGGATGTCTATACTTTCATCATGTTCAATAGAACCTTAGTCTAAAAGAAGGAGTTGAAACAAGGGAGGAGAATTTCACTGTAGCCTGCACATGATTAAATTAGTTCTAGAGCATGTAGTTTTACAATAGTGACCTGAAATAAGAAAGAGCACACACTGTGTCCTATTTGCTTTGTGGGATAATATGTTTATACAGTAAAAATCACTCTGATGCGCCTGCAGTTGGGCAAAATATAAGATTATACCTTCCACTGTAAGTAAATAAAGCATTTGAAGAATGACATGTCTGAGAAAACAAGAGAGATTAATAAGAATGTACATGAGAGGAGTTGGTGTGCTAGGAGAAACAAGCCAATGTCATTTCCTGAAGAAAAAGCAATGTCAATAAGAGGGAGAAATTATGTAATATGTAATGATGACTACTCGAACAACAAAAATCTGGTAGTGAGACTAACTCATTTCTTTTCATTTTTTAATTTCCTGTAGTTTTGTTTTATTTTGTCTTGTACCATCGAGGGTAAAAAGAATACACACACACAAAAAAGTTTCCTAACACAGGACATTTTTACCAGAATAAATATGTCACAAAAGGAGGTTTGGAGGATACAAAATACTGAGTTTGAAGAGTGCAAACTAAAGGGCTCCCTCAGAGGGACCTGAACTTGATCTATAAATATCTTCAAGGTAACCGTGTGACTAAGGGAAGGACATCATTCATAATGTCAAAAGATAGGACACAGGACAATGGCCTACAGCTAAAAACGAAAAAAAAAAAACTTACTGCTGGTTATTTTAAAAGTTCTTAGGACTGAGGTCAACTAGTTTGAATCACTTGCAGACAAGCACACAATGATGATCGCAGTGGATAGTCAAGGACCGTTTGTCAAAGGGTTTAGCACCAAAGGTGAAGTTGGCTAGTTAGGATCCAATCATCCTTAGCATTTCAGAGCTTATTAAGGGGAAGGCAGATGCTGGTGAGGCCAAATAAATATATTCATGCCTTGCTGCCATGAGCTAAGTGTCAAAGGGGTAAAGTTTCTAGGAGTTGTACTTTAAGTAGCCAAAAGACCCCTTTTGTATGCAGATAGACTCAAATCCACACCCTTTGGCCATTTTAGATTCTGTTTCTAGTCAAAGTTACTTCTCTGTTTTAAAAATAGCTTATTTTTCCTATTTATAAAAGTAACACATGTTTAGTACAAACATTCAGAGAAATAAAGATTATTCTTAATTCAACCATACAATGACAGCTACTCTAAGCATTTGGGTTTATATTCACTTATATTTTCCCTAATGATAGACACAAGCAGACATTTTAAAAAAATGAGATCATGAGACACATCTCATGTTAGCCTAATCCGTTCACTTAATCCATCAAGGGCATATTTCTCCATCAAGAAATATAATACACTTGGATCAGAATAAGAATAGGCTGAGCTAAAAGTAGAGTAAGAATGAGAGAAACTACCCCTCTATTTTCCTCACAGCTGCAAATCTTGGCTCCGAGTAGTCTGTGAGGGAGAGTGGAGAATGCATTTTTAAAGATGTTGTTAAATCCTTCCAGTGAGGTAATAACATGGTATATTCATTTATTCATTCAGCAAACACACACTGAGTGGCAACCAGGTGCTGGCCCTGTGTTAGTAGCTAAGCAACCAACATGGTGACAGGGTCCTGGAATCAAGGGTTTCTCCCTGGTTCCTCTCCCCACTACTGACTTTGGGAAAGCAGTAAATATCTGATTCATTTTATCACTAACACATAGCAGAGTCTTGGAATGTTGCTAAATGAACTGAACTGAAGGGAGCCATACATGTAAACGATCATTTGAAATGCTCCGTGGTAAATGTGGCCCTGGGGGCCAACTCCAGGTGCAGCAAAGACAGGGAAGGTCTGGGGAGTCGGCATAAAAGAACCTTCTCTCTCAAGGCTGGAGAGAAATTTAAACTGTTATGTCCCAAATCATAAGGAGATCAGATACAATGATTTATGTATTCACAAGTAAATCTGCAAATTTACAGTTTAGCTATGAGGTGTGCCTTGGGTAATTTCAATTCGTTAAAAACTTTGAACACTTCGTTTCAGTAAAACTTCAATATTTGTACATCTTGCCAATGACCCCTTCTCAAGAATCTGATGATAGATCTGAGGGAAATGGGAGGAGTAATTTTTCATTCAGTTCAGATCTGTGTCTGAAGTAGCCCATGAAGTCCTATTCAAAGAGGCAAAATTTGAGTTTATTTTATTCAGTAATAAGACTAGTTAAAATATATTTAGCATCTTCTATGTGTAAGGAACAATACAAAATCATCTCTCTATATTAGCTCAATTAGTGCATTAATGCTATGAGGTAGGCATTAATATCCAAATCTTATAAAACAGGAAACTGACACAGAAGCAGGTTAAATAAATTGATCAAGGTCACAAAGCTAGCAAGTGGCACTAGGTGAGACCGGAACTCCAGGAATCTGTTTTTATTCTGCCGTGCTCCAAGGATCTGTTCAACCTGCTCAGTGTTTATGTTGATTTAGCAACAATTTAGTTAGAACTGTAAGCCCATGAAGAATATGCCTCATATCTTGTATTAACAGTTCTTTTTAAGGCTCTTACTACATTGCTACTCAAATACCAATTTAAAATGGTTATACAAGGGTTTAACAATATGTGTTGATTCAATTTTTATCAAAATCAAAGTACACCCAAAAGGCTTTCATTTCAATGCCTTGTGTTTCAAAACCAAGATACCCACAAACACATGAAGTGATTATTTAAAAAGCACTGGCGATATTGAAGGGGGCTTTAAAAAGAGAAGCTTTGCAAGAACATGGGTGATTGCATTTTAATGACTTCTGAGACTCATTAGGGTTTGTGTCTCATCATTCTCTCTGATATGGTTTCATAGACTATCGAAACAAGACAAGTGGAATAACAAGCCAATTTAGTCAATGAGCAGATTTCTAACGTTGTTGATTTGGATTGTTAACAATACTAATTATATTCAACTCAGTATTTCCAAATAGTTTCCAAGAAGATGCTACAAATGGCAAGATTTTTTGTTGTTGGTTGTGTTTTTAATGATATTGATGATACAACTTTTCTGTGTAAAATTTCTTTTACATTTAACCAAGTTCTTACTACTTATTTGTGATTGTATAAGAAAATACTAGCAAATAAAGTAGATAACGTTAATTATCCAAATGTTTATATTTAGGTAAACCTTAGTTTAGACCTATATGGAAAGCTCGTAAATGGAGTGGATTATTATGCCATTGCCTGATCTAAAATGCCATGTATGTAACAAGCTAACAGGAACAATAGAGTATGAGACAAGAAGATTACTTAAAGTGGCTGTTGGGAATTTGTAACAATACAAGGTCTGAGACTAGAGATAATACACCTTGGGCATTTTGAAAACAGTAGTTATTTACATGCCATGTTTCCTGTAAAAATACCATGTCTGATGTCCTTAAATGAAATTCCTTTTCATGAAAGCTATTAGATAACTCAGAAATTTTTTCAATATGTAACGTTTAGCAAAATTAGAGGAATTAATGTCTTGTCATTAAAGGCAAGTTGAATACAGACCTCTTTAAATATCAGGATGTAGCAGGAAGAAAAATGCAGACTTACAGGAGAAAGGACTAATGAGTGTGATTGGAAAATTCTAATGTTTCATCAGTCCTTACAGAAAATCATAATGGAGGGAAAGATTCTATATAGAGGAAAGTAAAGCTGGAGGGGATGAGAAGATGGAGAAATTTCTAGACATAGTCCCGTCCTTCTCAATTGTTGGGACCCTCTCCCTGTTAACGGTCTCTGACCCACTAACATGTGCCTGTTCTTAGATGAACATGGGACTGAGGATGTCAGAGAAAGCAAGAAGACAGAATTGTAGATGGAGGTTAGAAAGTGAAACTGATAAATTTAGAATGAAGAAGAAATGGTGAATACCATTTAGTTTAAGTAGTTACTTACTAAATAGCACCCCACTAGCCTGTACAAATTCACACAGCTCCCAATGTGCTTCAATTACTCCCAGGGCATAGATGTGCACACCAAAAAGAGATGGCTCAATGCCCTTAGGAAGATACCCAATTTACCACAAGGAAGTAAATTCTGTACTGAGAAAATCCTCTATAGTATAAATCATGTAAATAATGGTCTTGGGGCCAGAGAAGTATTCAAATTCTATTGCTTTTATTAATCTGTGAAATGAAAGGGATGCTGAAGCAGGTAATTGTCATTTGAAATGGAAGACAAAACAACATATATTTTAATCAACACATTTATTAAATGTCAATTATAATTTTCATCAACTAAATTATGTCAGACTAACTTGCAATAACAAGCTTGCCAAATGTTAATTAGAAGAATAAATGTTAACTATTAGTTTAATTTTAGTGCCTTTGGAGTTTTCAAAATTTTATATTTATGAAATACTAGGCAATTAATCTTTCTTTATTTTCATCAACTTTTTTTAATTCTAACTAACCTTAACATAGAAAAATGCTCTCAGGAAAATTATCTTAATTAATATGTAGTTAAGAATAATGAAACCTTTCCTTATTTTTCAAGCATTTTGTCTATTTCATAAACATATCTAGACATCAGAAGATAATGCCTGCATACTAATATGAACAGTTCAGATGTTACAGAAATGGATTCTTTTCTTAATGTCCACTGAAACACACACACATATCAAAGTGTATCTCTTAATTGGTTTATAGTAGTTCAGAACCTTTGCTTCAATCAAATGCAATGTTATAATTTCTATTACCTGATATTAAGTATCCCACTATATTCATTAATATGCTAAGTATTACAAATACCATTTAAACATTGATTCCTTTCAAGTTTGCCCATATTTAAGTTAGATAAAATATATTTTGTTGGTTTTTATATACTCTCAATTCAGAAGTCTCTCCTTTTGTAAATGTAATATTAAATTACAGTGCTAATCAAATAAGCATTTTCCCTGGAGAAAATTGAAGGAAAATTAATTAGACTTTCACAATGGATCTTTATTTCAATGATATTAACTGACCTTTTGTTTGGATAATCCTTCTTGAAACCTATAGTCAGATACCCATGATCAAGAGGCAATAATAAATTTCTAGACCTAAGAGTGAAATACATTAATGTTGATTAAAGTTGG